AACTAGATATATATACATGCGTTGTCATGGTTTCAAAGTGTGTTTAAAGCAGATCTGGCTGCAGCTGGATGCCATACAACTGTTAATAAATGTTAATGATGATCTACGTCATGATTCTATGTTGTTGATTAAATGAAATCTTATGGTAATGACGTGTCTGGTGTTCTATCACATAGCCATATGCTGTCAGAATAGCATACATGCAGTGAGTACCATGCCAGCGCATGCGCATTAAGAAGTCTGACCGTCAGTGGAGTTGTCAGTATACGCAACAAGTTATGACGAAAATAAGTCATTAAATTGTTTATAATATGACATACATGATAACTAGATATATATACATGCGTTGTCGTGGTTTCAAAGTGTGTTTAAAGCAGGTCTGGCTGCAGCTGGATGCCATACAACTGTTAATAACCAAGTGTATAATTATCTACGTCATGATTCTATGTTGCTGATTAAATAAAATCATATGGTAATGACAGCGTATGCATATCTGAGCTAAGGTATGACTATCTGACAACGTATGCTGATCTGACAGAACACCGTGAGTTCGTGCTAAGCATGACGATCTGACCTGACAGAACACCCGTTCTTTGTTCTTGTAATGCTCTGTGTACACTGCATCATTATTTTATTTAATTATGTACGTTGATATTTAAATTAACAAATAACTAAAACACAAGAACGAAAGAGCACGCAGAGCATGCACATTGCTCTATGCTATGATTGTTTTCGTTCAAAGTGGCAGCTGTAATGTCTGCCATGGTGTCAGATTACCTGGCTTCATGTAGCGGGAGAGTGTAAACAGTCACCGTGAGCGCCTTGTGCTTGGTTACTTCTTTATTGTTCCTCGGTCAATGTTCATAGTTGAGCGTTATTTATCGTCAGGGCATTGCCTAATTGCTATGTTTAATGGTGCATACAGTGATGGTTTCTGACATAAGCAATATGGGGAAACACCCAGGGCGTTATCTTTTTAGGGCTGGCACGAGACCACCGCGGATTATAGCACAAAGATGGAAGCACTTCATTTTAATATTGGTAAAATGTATTAAGTATTTAATATCTAGGTGTTTTTATGGTAATATGGATCTTTCAGATCAATTTGAGAAGCAATTTTGATCATATTTCACCATTTTATCGTGTCATTTAGTGTGGGCCGCTGGTCTTGGTCTTGACTCGGTCTCGACTTCCCTCGGTCTTGGTCTTGACTTGGTCTCGGACCCTAAAAGTCTTGGACTTGTCTCGGTCTCGATACGCTCTGGTCTTGGTCTTGTCTTAGTCTCGGGTTAGGTGGTCTTGACCACAATACTGGCGCTGGCCCAAAAAAGGTTGAGAAACACTGGATTAATGTAATGTCTTACGTGTCTGACTTGCCTGTTATTTCTTCAGACAGGGATTTATCGTAGGCAGCAACTGTAAACTTCACTTTATTCTGTACACTTTGTTCAGTTACTGATGAGCACATATGCATTTTTTTTCTTTGTTATTACTTTAGATCCCCTTCTAACAGTCATGCATTGTCTGCATGACATGGATCATTAGGTCTCATCACTGTAAATTACGTGTTTGACAACCTTATGAATAGAATTATATAGCTGACAGATGATGACATAAAATACCTTTCAGTATACACTGTTCCTTCCAGAAACGTGCACACACCTTAAATTTTTTTGTTATGATACACCACGAGTGTCAAACCTTTGAGGGATATTTCGTGTTAAAAACAAACAGAAACTCCCATTAGATTGTGAAGTAAAGTAAAAATTGTGCATGACTTTGTCAGATCCTGGATTGTGTTGGGTTGTTTTGACTCGTTTTAGGGTTTGATTCTAGTTTCAATATTCTGTGTACCTTCATCTCTTTGAGTAGATCAGTCTTAATTCTGTTTTACTTTAGTTCAGTGCTGTCTCAGTGAGTCTAGTTTATGTTTATGCTTGTTTCTTTTGTCTCATTATTCTTTGTAACTCTAGTTTAATTATGTTTCTTTTATCTTCTCATTCTTTAGTGTAAGATTTTTGTTTTGTTGTTCTTTAGTTAGATTTATTTACTGTGCACTTTTCCACACTCTCCTCTCACACCTGCATCAGTTAGCCAATCAGCCCAGGTTGATTATTGCACATTCACTCTCCCAGTACTTAAACATTTCTGCTTCTCTCACTCTTTACTGGCTTTTCCAGTTATCTCCTTGTTTTCCTTTTGATTCACTGCTGTTATTTTACCCAGAATTCCTGTTTTGTCCAGCTCTGGGTCTCTATTGTTCCTGTGTTTGTTTGTTTGTTTGTTTATTTATTTATTTATTTATTTATTGATTGATTGATTGATTGTTTTTTGTAAGGCTTTGATATTAAACGTTCATAATCAACTATCTGACCAGTGTCCTGCATTTGGGTCCTACTTCAACCAACACATCCTGACAGTTTCTTTGTTGTTGTTGTTGTTTTCACAAAGAAAAATCTGAAAACAGTGGTGTGCATTTGTATTCAGCCTGACTAAATAATTTATATATGCATATATATTTTTGCAAAATTGCAAAAGACTTGGATGGGTTAGCTATCATAACTTGTCATTTACTAAAAATTAAATGACAAGTTTGCACATGAGAAAAAAAATAGATTATGATTTAAGTATACTTCCTTTTTACATCCCAATAAACCTGAAATTGAGTGCACAGGCTGAGATAACACCCCTCCCTTTATATGCCTCCATTTAAACAAATGGAAATAATTCCTGGAAGTTTGATTCTTCCAAGGGTGAGGTCAGAGTTCATATCTTCTCATGGGAGGGAGGGAGAGAAACAAAATGAGATTGAGTAGAGTCAAACAGTACTTTTCTTTGAAAACACTATCACCTTTCGGAGCTGAGAATGATGTCACACCAGTTAACATGACATTCCAGTTAACATAGACAGAGAAGTCAGGATTCCTATGTGGTGACGCCCAGATAGCCTCTTAACGAAGATCGTTTTAACCTGTACTTCCCACATGCGAAAACCATTTTTACAAGTGTGTCTCGTGACGTAAAAAAATGTTCATCACACTAAAAAAAGCAAACAGCTGATCCAACTTAAAAAATTTTAGTTGTTCCAAGGTATCGAGTTAAGCTTATCCAAGTAAATGTATCAAGTTTAAGATTTATGAAAAGCAATGTGATAATGATGAGTTGTTTTTTATTTTTTTTTTTTTTATTTGTTTTTTTCTTATTTCAGGGCCAGACCACATGTTCAGACCCAGACTTCCTGGAACGCACCTATTATGTGGGAACTGATGTTTGATAATAATCTATATGACCGAAAGCACAAAGAAGCCAATACAACTGTGGCCCTCACGGTTTTTGCTGTTGGAAGGTTTGTTTCTTTATGCATTTAAAAAATATAAAATGCTATGTGGGAGACGGGAACAATTTCTCCGAGGGAAAACCCCAAAGGGATTAGTAGAGTTTCTGTCTGTCTGTCTGTCTTCTATTCAGAGTTCCTTCCAAAATATTTATAGTCGCTCGTGAGGAGACATTGTGCATTGAAATTGGGGTAGAATTTTTATTTCAGCAATTGAAAAAGGTAAAAAACTGAAAGCATTTGATAAAATTAGGTAAACAAAACCAAGTTAATAGATTTCTTTAAAAAAAAAAAAAGGAATAAAACAATTCATGTACACCTTATTATTTCTTGTGTTTGATGTTTGGGGTATTACATTACAAGATTAGTTTGTGAGCTGTTTCAGCATTGAAAAAAAAATACAGATTGTAAGTGTTCAGCAGAAGACAGCATATTTCTAACACATTTCTTTGTTTTAAAATTAAAAACAATCATAAAAATAACATCTGTAGAAGAACATTTAGTCAAGTAGTTTTGATATTGGTAAACTAATTAGTAGATTTTCCCTTTAGTTTTATGTAGTTTATAGTTGTTTTAGTGTTAAATCTCACTTATTTTATTGGCTGAAATCGTCTCCATGCCAGTAACCGTTTGGAAAGAGCAAGTCCACACCAAGCACTTCAATTAATGTCAGCACTGTACATCTTTTTAGCACATGCAAAACTTACTAACAGACATAGCTGAGTATGTAAAATATGAAAATGTTTGGTAAAACAAACAAAGCTAATACTGACAAAAATAGGATTTGCGTGTGTGTCGTTTTCCACACACAGACCTGCCCACTAAAAGGAATATATTACCATTTGCAACTCTTCCTTTTCCACTTTGATCTGGGTTCTTGGTCACGTATTTCATTAACCAATCTCCTCCTCTTCATATAGCCATTTACTCCAATGGAGAGACTGTTTTTGTGAGTGTGGAAAAATCTGTCCTCACTGTGTTTGTTTAGTTTGAAAACTAAATCACTTCAAAAATATTTATGTTGGAAAAAAGTTTTACAGTTGTATAATCTCTGTTCTAGTGGATTTGACTCAAAACTCTTTTTGTTATCAGAAAATTGCACTTTAAACCGATTTCTACTTTGAAGGGTAGCAGGAAAGCAGACTGTGATTTATTAATGCTTAACACTGTTTTTTTTTTTACTTTAAACTACAATGAAATATCCATTTTAAATTTTAAAGATGATGCATTCCTTTGTGTATGTGAACATTAACATATACAGATACCCATTATTGTTAATGCCATAGAAAAAGAGCCTTTATATTTTCTATCTATGATTAGCATACTGACCTACAGTAACTGTTCACCTTTCTGTGTCTCTGCTGAAGGTACCTGGAAGCCTATCTCAAAACATTCCTGACTTCAGCAGAAGAACATTTCATGCTGGGATTACCTGTGACGTATTTCGTGTTTACGGATTTACCAGAGCAGGTGCCAGAAATTACCCTGGCTCCTCAACGAAACATCAACATTGTCAAGGTAGAGAAGCACACCAGGTGGCAAGACATCTCTATGATGCGAATGAAGACAATATCAGAAGTAATCGACACAGTTCTCCAGCACAAATTCACTTATGTCTTCTGTTTTGATGTGGATCAGATATTTAAAGGCAGATTTGGCTCTGAGGCTCTTGGGGAGTCAGTAGCTCTACTCCATGCTCACTATTACAAACTCCCAAAGTACAGGTTCACATATGACAGAAATCCAGAATCCAAAGCTTACATGACTGAAGGCGATTACTACTATCATGCTGCAATTTTTGGAGGAACATGTGAAAAAGTAAAGGCCTTGGCAGATTACTGCTATGTCAACATCATGGAAGATAAACTGAAAAATGTAGAGGCTTTATGGCACGATGAAAGTCACTTGAACAAGTACTTTTGGCTCAACAAACCCACCAAGTTGCTCTCTCCTGAGTACTGCTGGGATGAATCTATTAGCGATGCAAAAGACATACTCGTCAAGCGCCTAGTATGGGCCCCAAAAGACTATGAGAAGCTTCGTACTCGATAACGTGCATAAAACCTAAAAAAAAAAAAGAAAAAATAAGTGTGATGCAATATTGGAAAGAAAAACAATATTTGAAATTTGATTTTGGTTTATCTAAAGAATTTGTAAATTCAGAGCTTCAACTCTCATGGCAAGCTGGTAAAGTTTGTTTGGAAACTTAGAGTTTTAGGTGTAGGTCACTGTTATTCTAATAAAAACCTTTTTTCCTATGCATGTTATTCTTTTAAAGGTCAGGTGAAAGCAATCCTTTGTTTATACTAGTTGACATCAATTAGTCCAAGTTTATTTAGTTATTTATTTAGTAATAAACTTTAGTAATAAATTTTCCTAAGCTGAGGTTTAGTAATAAACTAATACACTTGGACTAAAGTGTGATAGGCTGTGATATTCCCTCCAGCCTATCAGGTTCACTGTTTTGTGGATATTTTTGTGACACAGACCTACAAATTATGAATAGTCAATCAGCATATTTGCTTTTTTTCATAGAGCATATCGGAGATATTTCAACGAGACGAAGAGCTGTTTGTTTTACTTGACACTAATTGGCTGTTTCCAAATTGGAGAAGATTAGGAAAACTGTATATTAGGGTTTCACTGGACAGCACAATTAAAAAAAAAATAAATAGAGCATTTACTGAAAAGTACAAGGAAAACAATTACCACAAAATAACAATTAAATATGAAATGAAGAAGTGGATTAATCTATTGCCATTAGTTACATCACAGTAGAGAAATCAAAGTTTTCATAATGTATGCAATTTTCAGACAGAAATGAATGTCCGTAATGCATGTAATATGTAAGGAAGCAAATTTACTGAATACAACTTTATTTTCTGTGAACAGTATTTCCATTGTCAGCACTGCTGTTAGCTAACAGAGCAGCTGTAGATTAAAAAAAGCCATCTAGAAGTATACTCCGGAATAGGGGATTTTTTTTTTTTTTAAGGTAAAACATTTTTTGTTGGAGTTCTCTTCAGTGAAAGGCATTTTCTCACAAGACATGATTTTATTGATCAATGTAAGTGAAGGTGCTAAACAGTTAAGAGACAATTCCCTGGATTATGTAGGTCATTTTAGCCAAGAGGTCATATTAGTTTGAGAAACTGGAAACGTCCATCTGCTTCCATCGGGGCACTTTAAACGAAGGAAGAGCCTATGAGCATGAAGAGCAACCTCTTTGATCAAAGGGAGGAACACCCAGACTCAAAAGCAACAAACCGTGTTATTGTCACAAAGCCTAGACTTTCTTTTATCAAGAGATGATGAAGTGAACAACAGATGAAGGACTAAAATCTTTAGGTGAAGAAGTCAGCTAAATGTAAAGGTAAAATATCTAATTGTTGAAGTTTAATTCCAGTGGGAATTAACCCATGAAATAAATAAAGCATAGAAGTTATGTTCTTAATTGTTTTTGAGTAAGTTTAGATCACTGGGTAAATAATGAAAATATATTGATGACATGGTGTTTTTAATACATTCAATATTTGTGCTTTTTGTTGTTTTTTGGGGGGGTTTTTTCATGTGGTTTTTTGAAGCTTTTTCTGATTCCTTTGGTAATTTTTTATTGTTGTTTGTCTTTATGGAGTTTTTATTTTTTTTTTGTTTGCTTGTGTGAAGTTTTCATCTCAGTTTTGCTTCCAAGAAAATGTTTTAACTTAAATTGTGAAATGAATCTTCGGCGCATATTCAATCTGGAAGACTCTCTAGACCAGTGTTTCTCAACCTTTTTCGGGCCAGTGCCCCCCTAGCCTTTCTCCAGGTCCCTCACCGCCCCCCACCAAAGAATTTGTAGGCTACTTTTCACTGACTATTATTTTATCATTAATATTACTATCACTATTGTAGATGCTTTGATTTTTATGCTTGTTTCTGTACTTATCAAAAATAATACCCTAGTGCCCCCCTTTTGTAAAAATGTTCGCCAGCGCCCCCTGCCATCCTCTGAACGCCCCCTGGGGGGCGGTACAGCCCACGTTGAGAACCGCTACTCTAGACTCACCTGCCTCATCAATCAGCGCCTCCCTCTCGTCACCCTGGACCTATCGGCGCTGGATCAAGCCAAACCATGGTCATGCTCCAGTTGATAAGGACCTTCATCCATGGCCTCCTCCGTTTACCAGCTGCGATCAACCCACCTCCGCCCCATCTCCACCTTCAGCTCCCAGCTCTTCAGGCCACATCCTTCTTCGACCTCCGCCACCAGTACAGACCCTGGGGGATTACATTCCTATGCAGCATCAGGAATGTTTATCTAGCTTATCAAAGTTCCAGCTTGACGTCCTCGGCCGGGGCCTGAACACCAAAGGACTTTAATATTTATTCATTATTTTTTTAATCACTTTCTTTCTCTGTCGGAGTCTCTCCAGATTGAATTTGCTTATTGCTTATTTTTGTCTTTAATGTTCTGAGTCTTGTCCAAAACCTGTAAGACTCTAAATCTACTGTATAACCGTAGAATGGTTTTTTATTTTTTTTTATTTTAGGGTTGATATTGATTTTTTTTTGGGGGGGGGTGTGAAATAAAGTTTAATATTTAAAATACAGTGTGTCTTTCAAAGTCCACCATGTCTTAACCAACCACTTATGTCACTTATGTCTTAACCAACATGAAATTTTCTTTAATATTTAATTTTCACCATTGATGAGAATAGAATCTGTCTTTCACGAGGACCTTGACATATTTAACAAGACACCACCAAATGCAGTATATTGGTCAACTTCTGCATTCTAAATGAGCGATCTGACTGATTTAGAGCAAATGTTTTATGAACAAGTCTGACTGAAGACATTAATTTTTTTGATGATACACTGGCACCACCTACAGGAATGTAGCGAAATGTATGTAGTAATTAAACTTTAATAGATACTTTGATTTGTTTTAAGTGTGAAGAGAATTGACATTTATAAGCAACAAATTCCGAGTGTAAAAATATTAAGAGTTTAAAAACTGGTGATTGACCTATTTTGAGGAGTAAATTCTGAGTGCAAGTGGAGAAAACAATTTTTTTTCGGAGTCACCACATGATGGCACCAGAATATTTGAGGTCCGTTTGTCGTTACGACCAAAAATGGGATGTTTACTACCAGTTACCTTTGAGCAGACGAGCACGTATTGATCACAGATTGATTCAACTGGACATGAGGTCTGCAGGCCTTGATCCATTTCTTGCATTATTCCAGACTCTGGGTCACAACCAGTCTACGTGCGTGGTTTGAAATCTGCACATTTGAGAAGCAGTATATGAGGAGCTTGTATGCATTGTGTTATAGGTGTTTGTGAATTATGTTGTGCACCTGCAAATCTTCTTGTACGCTTATAGAGCTTATTGTACAAACCTTATTGAATATTTTTCAGGGGGTAAAGTTGACCAAAAAAGCCCTATATTCCTTCTGACTACCAGGAAAAAAATATTGTCCAATCACCATTTTTTTAAAATCCCACAGTCTTTGTAAGGTAATAAAAGGTTTTATGCACTTACTTTGTCTCTTCCCATAAAATGTGTTATTACTGATGAACGCAATTTTTATGAATTAGAAAAAGATACGTACAAAAGTCCCACCCCTTCACATGTGGTATCACTGAAAAGCCCTAAATGTCCTCTCCAGATACCAAAAGGAATTAATTCAGTAGAATGCAGGGGGTGGGAGATATTCAAGTTTAGAAATGGCCTGTACAGAGGACAAAAATGAACTACTGGTAGTCAGGAGGATATTAAAGAAATAAAATCCACATTTCAAGTGCACTTTTCTTAATTTCCACATGATGGCAGCAGAGTGTTTAAAACAAAACTTAAAATTTCACCAAGTTATACATACCACACGTCAAGAGGCATAAAAACATATATTTCTATTTCTTAAATAATGTAGCTGAAGAATGACAGCTATCTTATCACTCATACTTTAATATGTCATATGCAGATACACTGTATAGAAAGACACATAGCCATCTTTCACACTTCCTGAAATTGAAGTTGACTAAATATTTCCTTTTTTAGGCCATTTACCAAAACTCCTTCTATCTGGTAGTTGCCATATTCATGAGAACATTTTGTCTTTGAGGATTGTTTGTCACTTCAGAAGTTTATTTACCTTAACATTACTATCACTTTAAATCCAGAACATTAGTAAAAGCCATGATGATAAAATTGGCTTTGTAAACTTTTGATAGGTTCACAATGTTTTAGTTAACTGGAGGCAAACATGTGGATGTGCTTCCGGGCAACACATCAAACATACAGTTTATTGTTTGACATCATGGAAACAAAGATAATAAATTTGATTAAATATTATTAAAGGAATTGAGTAGATCCGTCAATTTGATTCATCCTTTCATCCAATTTCCAGATGCCATGTTAAACTGCCCAAACCATAATAAGCAAGTATAAACACCATTCCAACAGTCAAGAGGAGACGAGTTCTGGAGGCTATGGATACATGTGTTTTGGTGTGAAGTACTTATCAACCACATGACAAAGTCAAAAGGCAATGTGGAGATGTTGACTGAAGATAGTGAGAAGTATCATCTATAGTGAAATGAGTCATGTTCAAACATGGGTTGAAAAACCACTCAAAAAAGAAGAAGACATTATCTCAACAGGATCAGAGTCAATTACCTTAACTTTTGGAAATATGTCCTGTGGTCTGATAAAACTGAAATTAAAGTATTTGATCCTGATGACCATGGTTACATCTGAAGGGAAAAAAATTGGAGAGCTTGCAAACCTGTGAAGTGCAGAGAGGTGACAGGGTGAGGTGTCTGTTTTAGGAACTGTACACTGAACAAGTTAGACAGAACAATATGAAGGAAATTATGTGGAATATTGAAGCAACATCTAAATGCAGCCTGGGAGTTGAAGTGTAGCCACACACGGATCTTCCAAATGGTTGAGGACCTTAAACATACCACCCAATTCAAAAGGAGCTGAAGGATACCAAAGTCTATCTTCTGGAGTTCCCATTCGGTTTAAAAACTAATAATACATTTTATATACTCTAGAACACCTACCCCGTTGTCTTCAAATCATTTCTGTGTAGATTTAGTGGTATGCTTCGGGTCATTGTCTTGCTGGAAAATAGATGATCTCTTGCAGATGGAAACAAAAAGTCCCCCAGGATTCCCCAATATTTTTGCTGTATTCATTTTACCTCCTACCTTTTCAAGCTTAAAACTCCTAAACCCTCACCTTCGGAAAATACAATGGAAAAACAG